CTAGACCCACAGTGCCCTGGGCTACCTCCATTATAGCTCACTGTCACTTGAGCTTGTGACCCTTGTACCTCTGCTGCCTCCTCCATCAGACTGTGAGCTCCCCAAGCTCGAGGACGCAGGACAGGCCTCCCCTAAGCAGACAAGCTGCTGGCTGCATCCCCTTATGAGATGGAAAGAGCAAGTAGCTGGGGCGCCTGGCTGGCTGAACTGGAAGAGCATGTGACTCTTGATCCCGGGGGTCATAAGTTTGAGCCCCACACTGGGTGTAGAGTACTTAAATAAACTTAAAAAAAAAAGAAAAGAAAAGGCAAGGGGACTGGCTGTCTGCCATCGCAAACCTGCTGTGTGACCCTGGACCGCTTATTGGCCCTCTCTCTGCCTCATTTTCTTCTTCCTATAAACCACAGTGGGGGAGCCAGGGCTGCTGGGAAGCTGAGGGGCCTCTTCGGGGAGGTAGGGGGCACCCCATCACTGGAGGAATTCAAGCACATTTCTAGTCCAGCCTGCCAAGGTCTTCTGTAGCTGGATTTCAATTCGCAGGCCCTTTTCAACGCATAATCACTTAAGCCGTTGTTTGAAAAGCAGCGACTAAGTGTATGGAGTCTGCACCTGTCAATTCACCTCCTACCTGATCCACTAAGGTGGGAGCAGTTCCCTCACAAATGGGACAGCCCGGGCTCGTGGGCCACAAAGCCCTTGTCGGAAGCTACGTGCAGCGAGAACAGCCAGCACCATTCCAGACACGCCCCACGGCAAATTCACCCTGCACTTCCCATCCGCCAGGCAGGGGTTCAGGGGTGCAAGCGTGTCATCCCAGCCTCTCCCCCACCCCACGAGGGAGGGGGCTGTTATCAACCCGCTTCATGGTGGCAAACTGAGGGCCAGGGAGATTCAGGGCTTTGATTATTATAGAGTCAGAGGGCTGGATCCTGAGCCCGTGCTTCATCTCGGATGCCAGCCTACCTTCCTTGCCAGGGAAAGTTTAGGCTCTCCTAGTCCAGGTGGGGAAAGTGAGGCCCAGGGAGCCTAACGGTCTCACAGAGACTCCTGGGGTCACCCTTAGCTGGTGGAGGACACTAAGGCTCAGAGCAGGGAAATGACTGGTCCAAGGTCGCACAGCCTGGCAGTGCTAAGCCTGGGGCTCTCGTGTCCCCAGGACATCAGGATTAAACTCTTCGTCCTAGATCTTAGAGCAGTTCCAGGATTGGAAAGAGTGAAATGGGGGTGAGTGGGCGTGAGGGTCCCCCTTCACACTGTGAAGAGGAGGCCTGGGCAAAAATGAGAAGAGTAACTCACACCTCTCTGCCAAGGCCTGCGGGCTCTCTGAGGCTGGTTACCCAAAAGCAGGGTGGCCAAGACCAGAGGAGACTCCACCCTTTCAGCTGCTGGAGAGTCCTCTATCCTCTAAGGCGAGGAGAGATGGACGGAGGGTCCCCAACCCCCAAGACTGAAGAGTTTAAGATGGGGGAGAGGAGAGAAGACTTGTCCCTCACAGGAGGGGGAGGGGAGGGCTAAGGTAACTGGCCTCTTAGGATGAGATGAGATGAACTGAGGAAAAGAACTCTAGGTACAGGTGAGGAAAGAGGCAGAGTCCCCCAAGGAATGAGGGATGCTAGTGAAGCCCCCTTCCAGCCACCTGTCAAACTACGAGTGCCCCCCTGCCCGAAAGTGGGAGAAACTCGAGGATGCCCCCTCACCCCCCTACCCCGCGTAGCCGGGGAGAAGGTGAACGTCTGGGCTCTTTCTCGACCTCTCCGAGACCTTCCCACCTCGCCCGAGGGTCCAGGGAAGAGCCACTTCTCTAGGAAGAAAACAGGAAATCCCGCCCAGGTGGGGGCCAGGACCGGAAGTCCCGCCTTTGGACGGGTGAGGGGCGCCCCAAGTCCCCCCGGGCAACCCCCAGACCCTGTGGACATGGTCCACGACCAAGGCAAGGACCCTTGTGGGTCTGGAGACCGTATGAGAAGGCTGTCTAGGTTTTGCCTTTGGGTCAGACACGACGGTTCCCGCGGGCAACCCCTTTCCAGCGCTCAGCGTAGGGTCGCTGGGCGACCTCTGCCCTCTGATCTACGCAGGCCATACCCCTCCCACGAGTGGCTCGCCCTCCCAGCGCCCCTCTCCTCCGGACGGCCAAATCCTCCCCACACCGCGGTTCACAACGCCGCCTCCACTCACGTGCCCGAAGCCAGCATGGCCGGCTCGGCGCCGTCGCCGCCCTCAAAAGACATGGCGGCGCCTAACGTCACTTCCGCGTGGTTGGCCCTCCTCCACCATGCACACTCCGCCTCCCGTATCCGGGCCGCCCGAAACCAAAATGGCCACGGGGACATCACCGGGTCACAGCGGGGCAATGGCGACAGCACGGTGCCCACAAGAAAGATGGCGAAAGAAAGGCTTCAGCTTGCTCGGAAACAAACCAAACCATTTCGATTTGCCCCCAAGAAATACGGCCGTCGGCATATGCACACTCAAGGCGTCAGTAAACTAAGGCCAGCGACTTGATGCCCCTCACCCATTGTCAACCTCTTCCACAGAAGTAGAGAAAAGGCATGCCCGTTAATGACATGGCAGGCCAGCCTGGCATCACTTGCCCAAAATGTACATGGACTCTCCCTCCAACCTGTTCCCCCTTTAGCACCAAGGCTGGTAAAGATCCAATATGGTAGCCCTTTTTGCTTCGGTTTGCCAGGATTCAATATGGCTGCCTAGCCTGCTTTCTCTCGACGGTGACTCAGGAATTCGACTAGGACCGCTTCGTTCCCGCGAATAAGGACGGCTTCATCCCGTTAACCCAAGTCCCTCAGCACCTCTTCTGACGCACACCTTCTCTCACCTTCTTTTCTTTTATCCGTTTCTTTTCCAGGACCTCACTGTCGCGCCCCTCAGAGAGATGAAAGTGCCCCGCATTAACATGGCCGCAGCTGACCGGCTTTGCCAGTGCCCTCGAGCAAAATGGCATCTCTTTAGCTTCAATGCCAGTATACAATATGGAGAAAGAAGTAGGTGTTTCGGAGACGGCTTGAGAGAAGGGGTGGAGCCCTTGGATCCTCCCCCTTGTTTACTTCGCGGTCAGGAGAGCAGCACTGCGTCTGCGCACTCTCGCCGGGCTGCTCTACCTTCAGCGTTTGCGCCATGTGACTTAAGTCCTCGTGGTTCAAGTTCAGTCACCCGATTCTGAAAGATGGTTACATCCACTCCTGTTCTAGAACAGGCAAGGGCGCTACCACTGTCCAGGCTTCAGGGGAGTCTCCTATCCGGATGTGACAGCACGATGACCCGGAAAGGGAGAGGACCTGGGTAGTGGGACCTCGGCCGCGGCTATGGAGGGAGCCGGCTACAAGGTAAGCACCGAGGACGCATTCTTTCCCTTCTGTGGTTGCGAGACGCCGCCCTCCGGTGGTCGGCTTCGCCCCAAGACTCTGCCGGGGCTCTGGGAGCCCGGCTGAGCCTTAGCAAACACATCATTCCTTTATAAATGCGCTGTCACCCTCCCCTCCAATGCCCTAGGCGAGACCCTTACCTTATGGCCCCGCCCCCTGTGCGGCTGGACCCCTCCTAGGCCCCGCCCCCTGGGCGTCTACCTGCGCTTGGGCCCCGCCCCTCACTGGTTCCTGTCCCCAGGTGGTGTTTGAGAAGGGTGGCGTGTACCTGCACACCAGTGCCAAGAAGCACCAAGACCCGGACTCCCTCATCGCTGGCGTCATCCGTGTTGTGGAGAAGGTGGGCCGGGAGGCAGCGGGGCTCGGGCAGGCCCAGAGCGGGAGGGAGGCCGCATCTGTAGGCGTATGGCCTGGAGGTCACGATGGGGCTTTAGGAAGGCAGGGGGTGCGGACTGGAGGGAGAGAAGGGGCTTTGTAAGTCTGGGGGTCCAGACTGGGGAAGAAGTTTGGAAATACGGTTTGGGGAGATTGGAGGGCAGCACTTCTAAACTCCTCTCTCCTTTCCTCAGGACAGTGATGTCCTCCTGCAGTGGGTTCCTGTAGAGGAGGCTGGAGATTCCACCCAGATTCTCTTCGCCAAGAAGGTAGGCTTTTCTCTCTTCTCCACTTGCTTTTTCCAGGTTTCTGCGGTAGAAGACATCTGAAGGACCTGGGTTCAGTCCCAGACTAACTCTTAGATCCTGTGTGACCCTGCTTGGGATCTAGGTTCTCTTTGCCCCTTGGTTTCCTCCCCTCTGTGAAATGGGGCTGAAGATGCCCATTCAAAAGAAAGCAGACACTGAGATTTGTGGCCATGGGGACAGCTGCCCCCTCATCCCCTTTGCTCTTTGGGAGAGCCCTGCCAGAGTGCAAGAGGACAACACAGCCTGTGGATTCGGGTTCCGTGGGCTCTCAGCCTACAAGAACTTGAAAGGGTGTGGCGTATCCCCTCGGGCAGGTCTGCCGACCGTGTCCAGAGAGGAAACTGAACGTGACCAAGGCGGCTCGCCCACTTACCAGTACTCCTTCTTACCCCGGGTACCAGACTTTGCCCTTCTCGTTATTACAGACTCCTGAGGCTTTCTGTCACCAGGTTCTGTGCTGGGACCGGAGATGAGTCTCAATCAGACCCTGCCTTAGTCCCCGCCCCCGTTGTATTTAGGGGAATTGAGGCACAATGATTGGGAGCCCTGTTTGCAAAGTCAGAAAGCTAGGAGGTGTTGGAACTTGAGTTTGAACCCAGACTCTGATTCCAGAGCCCTGCCCATTTCCGGAGGAAGCAGACATTGGCACCGGAACCCTAAGGAGGAGGGGGCAAGAAAGTATTTCAGGATACGGGAGGGAATGAGATGCCCGTGTAGAGGGTTTTGCTGGGAAGGTAGTTCGACGTGAAATGCCCGACTGAGAAGCTTGGGCTGCGTTCTAGGGGCCCTGGGGGAAACATCGGGGGAGAAGGGTGTGGGTGTGGAAAGTTTCCATGGGAAACCATGTCGGGGGTGGGCAGAACGCCTCAATGGAGGGAGACTGGAGGCTGGGAGGCCAGGGAGAGGTTATTGGGTTGGGCCAGGGAGAGAGAATGAAGCCTGACCTGGGGCAGGGGAGCTTTGAATAACCTAGTGTGGGGGCATTACAAGTGGCGATTCCAGGAATCTGTAGTGGGATCTGGCTTCCAGGGGTTGAGGAAGAACCAGCCAGGATTCTGCATTTTTCATCAGCCTCACAGGCGGTCTGAGTGCCTTTCTTGAAAATGTTGGCTGTTCTCCTTGGCAGTCTTACTTTTGACCCAGAGAAACTCACTGAGACGGGTTGCAGCAGAAAAGGCACAGGTGCATACGGCGTATTAATCCAAGGAACACAACATCTGGCCGACAACAAATTAAGCCGACGAGTTTATCTCTCTTGTTTCCCAAGACTGCCAAAGACGTATGGGGCTACAGGCCGTGGCTGGTGACCCTGGGGCCTGGATCGGTGAGACCAGACCACGCTTGCCCTGGTCACCTTTAAATGGCTGCTTGAGCTGAGCCCCTGCATCTGCTTTTTAAGGCAGAGAAGAGGGGGGCAGGCAGGGTGCCATTCACATCTGTCTTTCTCGATTTCCCACAAGCTCTCGGCATCGGTTAGCAGTCACATTTGGCTACGTGCGATAGAAATGGAAATAACAGTGGCTTCAGCTAGATAGAAGCTCATACCTCTCCAGCTGAAAAGTCCAGAAGACGGCGGGTCCCTTCCATCTTTGCTCTGCCATCCCCAGCACACGGAAATGCATCCTCACGGCTGCCTTGTGGTCCAAAGAGGCTGCTGGAGCGCCAGCCTTTTTGGCGGTTTTTGCTCACTTTATACGTGTGCTGCAGGTTGGCCAAGGAGCTCTGTTCGTCACGATTACTCGGGGAGGCGTGCTGCTAGAGTGGCTGTCTTAGAAGCCACCGTTCCTTGTGGCAGAGGGAAAGAGTTCTTCCCCGGCATTTCAGCAGTCCATCCTGGAGACATCCCAGCCCCTTGGTCAGGACTAGCTGCATGGCTCCAGCCAGCCAGTAGAGTTCAGCAAACAGTGATCCTGCCGTGTGCCCAAGGAGTAGAGAGCTGCAAACATTCGCAGGCAGCAGCGCTGACTCTCGCTGTCATGTAAACGTCGAAACATCAAATTCATCCCACAAGACACGCAGGGCAGGGATGGCTTTGCCAGGGCTGGTTCAGCAGCCTTGTGGATGGGTGTCTCTGACTCCCTTCTGGCCCTGGTTGCCTGCCACAGCTGCAGACACCACGTTCTCCATCAACGGCACCCAAAGGCTGTTCTAAACGGGGTGTTCATCCCTGTACGTGCCTTTTTTAAATCAGGAATTTCCCTTTACATTCCCCACAGGTGTCATTTCAGCTCCCACTGGCCAGAGTTGGGTCCCTACGGCCACTCAGAGCCACAGGGAAGGCTGGGAAAGGAAACATGGGGAGGTTTTAACTTCTGTCGTGGGAGGGGCTCCGTCAGCCTGGAAGGAGCAGCGGAAATGGCTTTTGGGTGGATCCACTGTCTGTGTCCTTCCAGCAAGGTCCCATCACACAGGGTTTCATCGTAGGAAGCACAAAACACCAGTTACTTTCGGCAGGGAAGGGTTAAAGGCCACCCTCCTGCTGGCAGGGAGAGGCCTGTAGAGTTTTTTCAAGGGCTGATAGAACGGGACTGACCCTGCAGAACTGACCTGCCAGGGGAGCTGCCGCCACTGCCAAAATGAGGGAGCGGGGAGAGATCATCCTGGGAGCGGTCCCTACCACCAGCTGCCACCCAAGGGCAGGAAGCTGCTTGGGCCCTACAAGGCTAGTGCCTGGCACTGGGAGACTGAGCTAACCACCACCTCTACCCTAGTCGCCTCTCTGTGTGTGGGGAAAACGGGAGTCTTCTCCGTCAGCCAAACACAGCCAGCGCAGCCAGAAGTTGCCTTTGCCTCGCTTCTGCTTTCCGGTAGCCTCTGTCTTGCGTCCTGACCTCTAGCTGCAGAGGAGCCCGGGGGAATGCAGTTTTCGCCTTCCAACCTCTGCCTGACAGGAAGGCATACCGTCCTGTGAAGGGACTCCCATCCCCTCCCTGTCCTTCCCCATGGCCCGCGGCCAGCACCATCGGCCGGGACTGCACTGTGACCCTCAGCACGGCCCTCACCTGCACTGCTTACCCAAATCCGCCAGCAGGCCCCACGCAGGGCACTTTACTTGTTTTCGTAACAACCTGCGAGTTGCCTCTTTTATTGAGGTAGAATTCACTTACAGTAAAGCACACGGTCACGGAAGAACGTAAGTCCTTAAAGTACAGCGGCGAGCGTTTCTCTGTTCGCAAAGTCTTGGCAGTTGTCACTACTGTCTAAGTCCAGGACATTTCGTCACCCCCCCCGGAGAAACCCTGCACCCGTTGGCCCCTGCTCCCCATCCTCTCCTCCCCCAGCCTCTGGCAACCAGTAATCCGTCTCTCTGGCTTGGCCTTTCCTGGACGTGGTGTATAAATGGAGCCCCACGCATTTTGCTTACGCGTCGGTTGGGTTGTTTCCCCTTTGGGGCTGTTATGAATAATCCTGCTCTGAGCGTTTGTGCGTTCAAGTGTGGACGCTTGGTTTCATTTCTCTTGGGTATACGCCTGGGAGTAGAATCGCTGGCGCGTACGGTACTTGTACATTTAACCTTTTGAGGAACTTCCAGGTTTTTCCGCAGCAGCTCCTTCCATTTACGTTCCCGGGGCAGTATATGCGGTTCCAGTTTTTCTACCAGTGCTTCTCTTAACCAGTCTTTTTAATCCTCACTGTCCTGGTGAGTGTGAAGTGGTACCTGATGGTGGCTTTGATTTGAGTTGCCCCAGTGACTACCACCGGCTACTTAACTTTAAGCACTGTGCCCTCCGGCAGTTGGCGGGCAGAGCGCACAGTCCCGGGCGTTCTCTGTGCTCCCCCGTGTGGTGGTGCTTGGGTTAGAGCCACCAGGAGATTGGCTTTGAGTCCTGGCCCTATCCCAGTCCCTGGCCGCACCGGGTGACTCTGGGCCAGTATTGTGCCCCCTCTCTGCCTCAGTTGCCCTATTTGTTCAATGGGGCCGCCTTCGAGGGCAGCCTCACAGCTCGGATCTGGAAGTCCTGAATCTACAGCCCCTCGCTCTCTTTATCTTCCTACCCCAAGGATGTGAGTGGGGGTGACGCCTGCACCTCTGAGGAGGAACCGACCTTTGACCCCGGCTACGAACCCGACTGGGCTGTCATCAGCACTGTGCGGCCACAGCCCCGCCACTCAGAGCCCACTAGAGGTAGGCTGAGCCGGTGCCCCTGAGGAGCAGGTGGACACACAGCTTACCCTCCGCGGTCATGGCTCCACAGGCTTTGCTGGTCACAGTCAAGATGGCCTTCCAGCCTCAGGAGAATGGATCGGGTGCAGGACTGTGCCCAGTCCAGGTCCAGCCTGGCAGGGTCCCCAGGGCTTCCAACCTTGCTCATCTCACCGGGCTCCCTCCCTGATCGGCTGTGGGGGTGGACAGTTGTAGAGTCACAGGGTGATTTGGGCTATCCTGGAGTTCAACAGGGTGCTGGGGGCCCCAGAGGAGGCATCTGGCCCCTCTGGGGAGTAGAGAAGCCTTCTGGGAAGAGGTGATGCCAGCCTCTGGCTCTGGGGGTGGGGCGGGGGGGGGGGACACCTGGGAGTTTTCTCCCCAGCAGAGAGAGCAGCCGTTCAAGGCCAGAGGCACAGTGCACCGGGTGTATTTAGGAAACTCGAGCTGTGGCCCGAGTGTGGGGTCTGGAGAACGAACTGGAGACAAGACGGGCAGGAGGTAGACCCGAGGGGCCTGCCACCAGCTCGAGGAACACAGCTGTCACTCTGAGAGCCGAGGGAGGTTTCAGAGCAAACCCACGGTGGGCGTTTCCGAGGAGACAGGAGGTGACCCAGGGCTCCCAGAGGGCTCCTGGGAGATGTGTGTGCTGCCTCTGGATCCCTGCACCTGTTCCCAACACGGCTCTCTTCTCCAGGTGCAGAGCCCAGCTCTCCCCGGGGCTCCTGGGCCTTCTCGGTGAGTCTGGGGGAGCTCAAGTCCATCCGCCGGTCTAAGCCAGGTCTCAGCTGGGCCTACCTGGTCCTGGTGACCCAGGCCGGAGGCTCCTTGCCCGCACTGCACTTTCACCGCGGGGGTACACGCGCCCTCCTCCGTGTCCTCAGCCGCTACCTGCTGTTGGCCAGGTGAGCCTTCCTCCAGCACCGGCCTTTGTGCCCGGGGCCCGGCCCCTCAGGGCTGTGAAAGAAACAGACTGCTTTAAAGGCAGGAAAGGGGGAATCCACTGGTGCGTGTAACCGCAAAGCCAAAGGGTAGTTTGGTTTCAGGCAGGACCCGGGCCCCGGAACGTTAGGAAGAATTGCTTTCTTTGCGTCAGAGCTGGTATCACTCTCTGGGGGCCCCTGTAGGCCTGGCCTAGCGGCCCCGGTGACAGAAGCAGTTCCTTCTCCAGCGGCATCCTGGAGCCGCCTCTCACCAGCCAGGCCTGGGTTGTGTGCCCACCCCTGGGGTCCAGCTGAGGCGAGGGCCTCCCCAAGGGCAGCTGGGCCGCTGCAGCTGGAAGTGGGAGGGAACCCACCCAGTGTGTCACCGCACCTGCCCCTCCCCAGCTCCCCGCAGGACTCCCGCCTCTACCTTGTCTTCCCCCACGACTCCTCAGCCCTCTCCAGCTCCTTCCACCACCTCCAGCTCTTTGACCAGGACAGCTCCAATGTGGTGTCCGTGAGTGTCGCGGTGCCGGGCCAGGCCGCTGTGGGCAGGGAGGGGTGGACGCCTCGGTGGGCGAGGCAGGGTGGGGTGGAGCCGTGACCGCCCTCTGGCCCTGTCCACAGCGCTTCCTCCAGGACCCCTACTCCACCACCTTCGGCGGCTTCTCCCGTGTGACCAACTTCTTCCGGGGAGCCCTGCAGCCACACCCAGAGGGGGCCTCCCCCGACCTTCCTCCACCGCCTGATGACGAGCCCGAGCCTGGGTTCGAGGTCATCTCCTGTGTGAGTATCAGGTGGACCCTGCTGTGTTTTGGCCGTCACCTTGGTGGGCGACCACATTTCCTTGGGTCCCCTTTTCCACAATAACAGGGACAACAGAGCACCACTCTCACCAGATCGTGTGAGTGACCTCGAGGAAAACCTTATAGCCTGTGACTCTCGGGGAGGACCTTCCTGACACGGAGGGTGACTTTGGCGCTGACCCGGGGAAGGAGATGCTCCCCACCCTGAACGTTAACTGTCCGTGGAGCTAAGGAGGGCTCTGAGCTGCCGTGCAGGTGGCCTGGGGAGGATGGGTGAGGCCCTGAGCTCACTTGCCTTGTGTCACACAGGTGGAGCTGGGCCCACGGCCAGCTGTGGAGCGGGCACCTCCGGTCACAGAGGAGGAGTGGGCCCACCATGTGGGCCCCGAGGGCCGCCTTCAGCAAGTCCCCATGCTGAAGGCCCGGATCTTCTCGGGGGTAAGGCGCCGGGTGGGCAGGCAGAGGACTGGGGAGGGCCATCCGGCAGCCAGGGGGAGGCTCCTCTGAGCGGCGGGCCCCGCTCTCTCCCCCAGGGTCTGAGCCCTGGCCTGAGACGCGAAGCTTGGAAGTTCCTCCTGGGGTACCTCAGCTGGGAGGGCTCAGCCGAAGAGCACAAGGCCCACGTGCGCAAGAAAACGTGAGTGAGGGGCGCCTGGGGGGCGCCATCAGTTAGGTATCCGACTCTTGGTTTTGGCTCGGGTCGTGATCTCAAGGTTCGCAGGTTCGAGCCCCACATCAGGCTCTGTGCCGGCAGCATGGAGCCTGCCTGGGAGTCTCTCTCACCTCTCACCTCCTCTTTCTCTGCTTCTCCCTCACTCACAATCTCAAAATAAATAAACTTAAAAAAAAAAAGAAAGAAAGAAAGAAAACACGAGTGAGAAACTGTGGGCCCCCCGCCCCGCCCAGCTCCCACCCCCCAAGTTGAACATATCCCCCTATCACGGCACGGCACCTGATACATCACAGATGCACAGGTAGGCTGGCTCCCGAAGGGTCAGTGAAGAGACTGGCACGTGCGGGCACCGGCCCTGGCACAGGGAGACAGTGGTGAGCAGGCTGGTGCATCTCCCATGTCCATCGCTGTTCCATTCCAAGACCATAACGTTGCCACCATCAGCACTCTGTGGCGGTCCTCCTAACCCCATGGGCCCAGTTCTCCTCCTTCCTGGTACATACCGTGACCCCACTGTGTATGTCCTGGTCCCTGCCCCAGTGCTCTCTGTCCAGCGGGGATGATAGACTTGGAACAAAAGCCCGCAACAGGGCGGGGCGGGGGGGTGCCTGGTTGGTCCAGACTGTAGAACGTGCGACTCTTGATCTTGAGGTCGTGAGTTTGAGCCCCACGTCGGGTGTAGAGTTCACAAGGCTGTTGTGCGTTGTGAGAGATGTCAGAAAGGGGAAGCACGGGGACAGGGGCGAGGGCGACTGGGTGGCTTGCGTCGTGGCCTTGTGTGACCCCTCTCCGGGCCCCTCAGGGATGAGTATTTCCGAATGAAGCTGCAGTGGAAATCTGTGAGCCCCGAGCAGGAGCGGAGGAACTCACTGCTGCACGGTTACCGCAGCCTCATCGGTGGGTCGCGGGGCCGGGGCTGGGGCGGGGAGATGGGAAACGGCAGGGAGAGGACAGGGGAGCCCCCTACCTTCCCAAGAAAAGGGATGAGGTTATCTGCAGTGAGGAGATGGGGAGTTGGGGAAGGGAGCCGGACTCCTTGGGCTCAGCCTGCCGTCTGCGTACCGTCAGGCCTTGGCGAGTGGTTTTGCCTCCTTGGGCCTCAGTTTCCCACCTGTGGATGGCTCAGTGACTGTTGGTGGCTGGGAGGATGCAGCGACCTGGCCAAGCATGAAGCAGGGCGCCTCGCGTGAGAGCGCCCGAGACGGTTTCTGGACCGACTCACACCTGCCCGGGGTCTGCGGAAGGGAGGAGCAGGGGCTGGTGCCCACAGCCAGCAGGGATGGGCCCCCACAGCCTCGTCACTTGGGCATCCCGCGCCCTGTCTCCGCAGAGAGAGACGTGAGCCGTACCGACAGGACCAACAAGTTCTATGAGGGTCCTGAGAACCCAGGGCTGGGCCTGCTGAACGACATCCTCCTCACCTACTGCATGTACCACTTCGACCTCGGTGCGACGCCGGCCCGGGGAGGGGTTGGGGGTCGGGCCTTCCCTTGGGGAGGGGGGCGGGGTGCTGAGGGCCTCGGCCGGGCCCTGACCTCGTGTTCCCCCAGGCTACGTCCAGGGCATGAGTGACCTCCTCTCCCCGATCCTCTACGTCATCCAGAACGAGGTGGATGCCTTCTGGTGTTTCTGTGGCTTCATGGAGCTCGTGGTGAGGCCCCAGGCGGGCATGGGAGACAGGCCCCTCCAGGGACCGGGGTCTGGCTCCTCATCTCGCCGTCCCTCCTGCAGCACGGGAACTTCGAGGAGAGTCAGGAGACCATGAAGCGGCAGCTCGGGCAGCTCCTGCTGCTCCTGAGGGTGCTGGACCCGTCGCTCTGCGATTTCCTGGGTAGGCGTCCCAGCGGGCGGTCAGTGGGTGGCGGGGCCACAGACGGTGTCCGGGACATTTGGTCCTGATCCAAACGGGAGAAATGTCTCCCCGCATAACCCAGAACCCAAAACGCAGGACTGCCCTTGGGAGCAAACCTCCCCACAGGCGCAGATGCGTCCACGCTCCCTTGCGCCCCCCCTCCCCCACGCTCCCCAAGCCCCTTACTTCGCAGATGGAAGGCGTGGGGGCTGGGCGCAGCTGCTAGCACTTCGTCCCTCCACCCGCCTTGAACCAGGATTGCAAACTGGTTGTCGGGGCTCCCGGGGCTGGGCCCGCTGCATTCCGGCCCCAAAATTATTCTTCGTTGCTTGTTGGGATGTAAAAAACGCAGGGAATCCCGATAAGGAAAGTCAAAGCTGCTGTCGATAATATGGTTCTTTCTGAACGCAGGTGACGATGAGTTAAGTTCTTCAGGGGCGTTTCCTCACTGACGTTAGGGTGGCCCTGGGGGAGGGAGCTATTGCCGAGATCGCCTCACCAAAGAGGAGGCAATCCAGGAAAGCACAGGCCACTTCCGGGGGCGCCTGGACACTAGCTGCCAGACCAGGTGTTGTGTCTGCCTTAAGTGCCTACAAGACTAGCTCTCCCCTGACCTGCCGGACGTGTCAGTTATTGGCAGTTTCTCATCACAATGACCGTAGTCAGGATGATTATTTTAGGCTAAATCCCAAGAAGTGAAATTGTATTCAGGGCAGGAGATAGTTTCACGGCTTTTGAAATGTTTGTTCCCGTCACTGCTTTCCTGGAAGTTTTTACCAACTTTTTTTTTGCTAGCCGAGTACACATGTGTCACACGAGTGTCACACGAGTGTCCCGGTTCCTCACGCCTCCACCAGCATTGGGTATTGGTACCTTTTATTTTTTTCCTCGAGTGCACACTGCACCCCTTTTATGTGAAGGTGGGAAACGGGACTGGCTCACCTCATCTGGAGTCTGGAAGGTTCCTGTGGACACAGAGCATTCCTGGCTCACTGCTGAAGCCTTCCCATGCTGGGCATAAGCTCCTTGCCTAGACTGGTGGAGATTCTTACGACTGAGATAACTTCTCAGGGTCGCAGTCTGACCACCGTGCACACTGTAAATGAAAATGGGGTTGGAATGGCTTTGGGGCTTGCTCTTTGCTCAGCACCTCCCCTCCCCACCACTGTCTTCCTCCAGACTCCCAGGACTCTGGCTCTCTCTGCTTCTGCTTCCGGTGGCTGCTTATCTGGTTCAAGAGAGAATTCCCCTTCCCGGACGTCCTTCGGCTGTGGGAGGTGGGCCCCCCAGTTTGGGTCGGTGGGTGAACAGGAAAGAGAAATAGGTCAGCAACCCCGGGCTGGGAGGTTGTGGGGGGGAAGTGGGCAGGGGTGAGGCAGACCTGGGTGGGACCTCAGGCAGAGACTGCGCGGTGACTCCTCCCTCTGGCCCTCCCAGGTGCTGTGGACGGGGCTCCCTGGCCCCAATCTGCACCTTTTGGTGGCCTGTGCCATTCTGGACATGGAACGGGACACCCTCATGCTTTCTGGCTTTGGCTCCAATGAGATCCTCAAGGTGAGGCCTTGGCTCCTTCCCAGTCCTCCCCTTCTCCCTGCCAGTCCTGACCTGCGTAAGCGTTTCAAGGCAGCTCGGGTGTGAATTCCGCAGAGGCTGGTGCTGTGCCCATGCCACACTTTACCTTGGGGTAGCAACTACTCAAAACAGGATTGTGGGAAGTGCGGTTGGCTAAGCTGTGAGCACCATGGCCGTGACATCGGGCTGTTTTCCCTACCCCATCCTATCGCTGGCTGCCAGCAGCACCCTTATGGGGTGCGGCCAGCACGTGAGGGGGGGACCTACCCCTTCCCTATCACGTTAATGCACGACAGGGCCACAGGGGTGGAGCTCAGTGCCCTTTCCCTTCACTGTACTTGCATCTGGCAAGCAGCCTGAGGGCATGACCTCGTCCTCTCCCCAGCCTCCAGCCTTCCCCAGTCTGTCTTTCTTCCATTATATCCCCAGCCAGAGGCGCAGAATGGGCGCTGGGGCGGTGGTGGTTGAGGGCCCGTAGGCCGGCAGGCCTGATCCACCCCTTCCCACAGCACATCAACGAGCTGACCATGAAGCTGAGCGTGGAGGACGTGTTGACGCGGGCAGAGGCCCTCTACCGGCAGCTGACCGCCTGCCCGGTGAGCCCCCGACTTCTGCCAACACCCTTCCCTGCCCCACCACCCCCGGTAAAACCACTGACTTTTTGCTCCCACCTGCCGACTTTGCAGGAGCTGCCCCACAACGTGCAGGAGGTCTTGGGTCTGATGCCACCCACAGAGCCCCACAGCCCCTCGCCCCCTGCCTCCCCACTGCCTCTGTCGCCCACCCGGGCCCCACCGGCCCCACCGCCCCCCGAGGACACAGCCCCGCAGCCGGACAGCAGCCTGGAGATCCTGCCGGAGGAGGAGGAAGAGGAGGGGGAGGAAGAGGAAAGCGTGAAGTCTTAACCCTCCCGGCCGGCCTGCCCGGCACAAGCACTTTATCCAGATCGCAGAGGCTGGGGAGGAAGTGTGCGAAGAGGGCGGGCCTCCCCACCGTACCTCCCGAGGCTCCTAATGAGCCCATCTCATTAAACTGACACTTCCCGTGTCCAGCTGGCCTCGTGTAGGTGAAGGAGGCGGCTATCTTGGCGTGGACCTGGATGGGGAGGGGGTGGTGGCCTTGCCGCTCTGCTGACGCCTGATCACGTGGTCCCGACCCAGCCAATGAGACATCAGAGGAGGCCTTTGGGGGGCTCGTGGAGGTAGGGCTACTGTTATCCGCCTGGATTTGGGGCTTTTGGAGGAATGAGGAGGAAGTGCTGGGGTATGGCCGCCACCGGTAGCTTTGCGGGGACACGTCCGGGACATAACCGAGATGGAAGGGCCTGCAGAGCTGTTGAGACACTCTAGGGACTCTGCCCACCAGCTTCTTGTTACATGAAAACAATAAACTCGTGTTTAACCCACTGCCTGCTGGGCTATTACTGACATCAGGGCTCCTCTGTTTGGTGACAGCCGGAGTGGGCACCGTGATTACCATCTACCAGTGGCACAAAGCAGTGTCCATCTGGTCCCTCCTCCGGTGGGGCCCCACCACCCAGGAAGAAGTAGGACAGCTGCTGCGGCCCCAGAACGAGGCGCAGCTCCTTCCACCGCGAAGGCTAACGGCTTTGCTTCGTGCACATTGGGGAAGCTACTGAACCACACGGCTTTTTCTGAAAATACATTTTTAATGCTCGGGTCTCTTGGTGTGCTGAGCGGTCATCCCATGTGGGGCCGGAGCGTGGGTGGCACCAGCCTTTTGGAACTCGCACCGGGGACGGCTGGGCACCTGGCGCACGAGCCCCTCCTCGTTGACCAGCGTGTGCCCCTCGCAGCTGTGCCCTTCGCGGCTGTTGATTAACACGGCCGCGCGCAGCGCCGACTTGACAGCAGTCTCCACCCAGCCGTGCGGGTAGGCCGTGTGCTCACCGGCGAAGTAGATGCGGCCGTAGGGGACTGACCAGTCGTAGTCCTGCCCGTCGTCCCCTCCGTCTTGCCAGGGCGTCGGCGGCTGCACCACGAAGCCGCCCTGGCTGTGTGGGTCCTCGGCCCAGCGTTTGATTGTGCCGCTGCCGTCCCAGAGCCGGTACACGATCGTCCCGTGCAGCGCCGCCACGTCGTCGAGCGCCACGCGCATCGCCTCCTCCTGGCTCAGGCCGGCGAAGGCGGTGGCCGCGTCCGACCACGTGTACGAAGCCAGAAGCAGCGCGCCCTCTCCCGGCGGCGGGTAGAATATCACGCGCGACGGGCGGGCGGTGTTCGAGTGGCCGCCCTCGATGTGCTCGTCGTGCCAAAAGGGCCGGCGGAAGCTCAGGAACACCTTGGTGGCCGGCACGTAGTGCAGCGCGCGCAGCGCCTCCTGCCCCCTGCGCGTCAGCGGCGGCGAGAAGGCGATGCGCTGTAGCGCCGGCCCGCTCGCGGTGAGCAGCACCACATCCGCGGTCATGGCCTTCAGACTCCGGGCCCCGCGCGAGCTCGCGACGTGCACGCGCACATCGTGCGCCCCCTGCGTTATCGCCACGACAGGCGCGTGCAGCAACACTGGCCCCGACAGCGAGCTCAGCAGCGCGCGCGGCAGCAGGTCCCAGCCGCCCACGATGCGGCTGTACCTGCGGGCAGGGCGAAAGCGTGATCCGGGAGCTCGGGCACTGCCCTGCCTCGTGGGCTCCTCCCCGCGGGCCCCGCCCTGGGCACTCCCCGGTACCCATCCTAGTTTTCACCTGCCGGGTCCCCTCTTATCCTGCCCCTTCTCGCGGGCCCCGCCCATTCATCTACCCTTGACCTCGCCAGTCCCTGACATCACCCGGAGGACCAGGGAGCAGAGAATGTGCGACCCGGGAACCCCGTCTCTTCTCTGAGCCACACCTTTTTCCGGGAACATTCTTATCCAGTTCCTCCGGAGGAACCGTGACGAGAGGGCGCGTGTGGCCAGACCCGAGCTCCGCGTCTCTCCGCCCTCCGTGCCCCTTCCCGCACCTGTGCGTCCGGCTCCTTTCCCGCCAGTCCCGCCCCACCCAACGCCAACAGCTCCGCCCACTCCGTTTCTCGCTCGCATTGGCCCTCGTCGGCCCCGCCCTGCCCACTGGCCCCGCCTCTCACCGGAGCCGGTCGCTGAGGCAGCTGTGGGCCCTTAGGGCCTCCGCGAAGCTGAGATAGAAGAAGCCGTCCTTGGCCATCACGTCTCCCAGGAGCCGAACGGCCGGCTGGCTCAAGTTCCCCTCCCCGAGGAGGTATTCCTGGGGGATGGGTGCGCGCCTGGGTCAGGACCCAAGCGTCCTGCACCTGGCTGTTCTGTCCCCGCTCCCATGGGGGGTCCCTCCCAGGCTGAGCCTCCTGGTTCCGTGACAGGACCGTGAGCTTATTAGTACGGTTCTCTGAAGCTTAGCCATCCAGAGGAAGGACGCAAGCCCAGAGAGGGGGCCGTGTGCCGCCTCGGGCCAGGCAGGAGGGCCGTGGCAGGCCTGGAGTCCGGGACTCCTGCCTTCTGACTCCAGGGCTAAAGCCCACGGGTGCCCTCCTTGTTTCTGTTTCTCAGACGGCGACGCCAAGGCCCCCACTCACCAGGAGCGTGTGCCTTTCAAACTTCTTCATTGCCTTTCTGCAGCCCAGTTTCTTGAGATCTTTGAGGGCCTGTGGTGGAACAAGGGGACAGTGCTGAGCTCCAGGGGCAGGACTGCAGAGGGCAGACTTGGGGTCCAAACCTGGGTTCTCCTCCCGCACCTGCCCATGACCAGCCATTTACCATTCTCGCTCAAGTCAGCATGGTCCTTGTCCGTGCTGTGCCCTCGGCCTTGCCCTCCACTCTGGGAAGTTCTTCCCAAGTTGTTAATGCCCCTCATCTCCCAGCCTTCATCCCACCCTGACAGTGTCACACTCAGCCCTATTGGGTACTGTTGGCCTGCACTTGTCCTAGTCTGTGAATTAGTGCAGGCAGGTATCATGTCTGTTTTAGTCAATGCTGTATCCTCCTGGTGCTTAGTGATTGTCACCTGCATCACTGGGGGCACAGACAGAAGCAGAGTCCCTTCTGCCCCCTGTCAGCCCTGAGGGGTTATTCACTGGATCCTCCCCTGCCCACAGCCCTCCTGTGGCTCCCCAGGGCCCGGGGCCCCTCAGTCACCATCTGACAGCAGCTGTCGTTCTGCAGCACTATGTGCAGTGCCCAGACCACTTTCGGGCCCCCCCGACACCTGCGCCGCACCACTGCACTCGTTCCCCTGCCTTGTCTTTGCCTGAAACATGAGTGGCCATCCTTTACTGCGCTGTTCAAGTCTCTTCCCTTCCTGGGAACCTCACAGCCCCATCTGATGTTAGCCTTCTTCTCTGTCCACGTGGCTTTCCCCTGTGGCTGGGGAACTCCTCAAAGCATGTGCTCCTTTGCTCACTCACTCATCATTCACCTTGCGTCTCCCTAGGCTCCCTGGACTGGTCAGTGCCAGGGCACAGAAATGGCCTGCACTCAGTGCCCACCCTGGTCCAGGAGGGGAGCCAGACAGGAGCTCCCAGAGGAGGCCAAGGCTGGCTCCTCCCTGAGGGCACCAGTGAAGGCTTCCTGGAGGAGGGGACGTTGGACCTGGTTCTTGGGGGATTAGTAGGGTTCCCTGGGTGGGAAAGGGAAAAGGCCTGCCAGGCGGGGCAGGAAGCAAGAGCAAGGGCATGGGTGCAGGATGGTGAAGGAGCATTGTGGGTACGAAGGAGTGCAGGGCTGGGGTGTTTGGCCACTCCGAAGGCTTTGGAGGATAACAAACACTTCTTGGAGGAGAGATGAGGCTAGAGGGGTGAGAGAAACCAGACCACTCAGGGCTTGACCCTGAGGCTAAGGCGCTGGGGAGCCATAGGGGGCTGTGAGCAGGGGCTGGAACAGGGTGAAAAGCCTGAGCCAGAGCAGGGCCCGTGGGGACAGAGAGGTGGGAACACTGCAGGAGAGTCAGGGGGCAGGAGGGATGGGGCTGGGGACTGACTGGTGGTGGAAGGGACAGGGAGGGAGCTAGGACAGCACCTGAGGGTCTGTCTGCCTTGTGACTAGGGTGGGGGTGATGGGGCCATCGTGAGATGGGGGAACCCGGGAGTATGTGTGGGGTTAAGGGAAGATGCTGAGCTCGGTGGGAGCCAGAGGGTCCTGGGGTATGACCCGGGGAGGGGGGACATGGACAAAAGTCTGGGTACCCCAAGATGGATGGGGAAAACATCAGGTCGAAGACCAAAGTTTAAGCCAAAGGCCTTCGTAGAATCTGAGGCTGTCCGGACAGCGTGCGTGAGAAGCGGATCAGAGACCGAGGGCAGAGGGGTGTGGGGGACGGGCCGCAGGGCTCCCGAGGCTGCCTACCTGGTTGAGAGCCATCTGATAGATTTCTTCGGGCGAGTGGCCCTTCTCCCTGGGGCGCAGCTTGTAGCCCAGCTTCTCTGGCATCTTCTCCACCACATAGTTGCGCAGCTTCAGGTTGTTGACCTCTACCCACGTGTTCTCATCATACTGAGTGAATTTGGTCAGGTTGAGTCCCAGACTCTTGCAGAGCTCGTGGAGGATCCTGAAGGAGCCGGGAGAGGCTGCTGAGGGTCAGGCGGGGGCGGGGGCAGGGCTGGGAGGAGTTGGGGCCCCCTTTCCGGAGCGGCGGACTCCAGAGCCAGGGGAACGGAGTGGGCGTCGGGGCTAGAGTCGGGTGGGAGGGCGGGTCACTGGAGCTGGGGCCGGGAATGAGAGGAGAGAGAGGCTGGAAGGCTGAAGGTGTACGGGTTTCGGATGGTGTTTGGAGCCCCGGCAGGCTTTCGTTGGGGCTGAAGTGGGAATGAGGACAGAGCTTGGGTCGGGTGAGGGCTTGCGATGCGGAGGAGACAAGGTTGGGAGGGCAGAACTGGAACTCTGGCTGGACACGGAGCTCTGAGCACCTCAGGGACACAGAGGTGGGGCTAGGGGAGGCTTCGGTGCCCACAGGGCTGCCTGGCCAGGCCTCACCTGTGCGAGCTGGGCATGCGCATGGCTCCCAGCTCCCCAATCCAGCCTGTCTTCCGGTCCCGGTAGGTGAGGATGCGGCCTCCGATCCTGTTGTCTGCCTCCAGGATGGTGACCTGAGGGATGGGGGTGGGGAGCACCAAGCAGGGCCCTTCAGCTCCTCCCACTGACTCCCCCCATCCCCACCCTGTGCCAGCACCCAGCTTCCATCCCCACAGCAGCCCAGACCTAGACTAGAGAAGGACGCCCTTCTACATGAAAAAGCCAGAGGAGCTGGTGGGAGAACAGATGTCCTAGCAAGCACGTACAATATGCAGTTTCCCAGCTGCAGCAGGACGACTGCAAGCCAGATTGCAGAGGAACTTCCCAGCCTAGGGAGTGGGGGGGGGGGGCGGGGGGCAGATTTCCTCCGTGCACAGTGCACAGAAGTCCTGGCCCAGCCCATTCTCCTTCTCGGCTTTCAGTGAGAGGGGCAGTGGTTAGACCTCAGGCAGTGTTCCTTGAGTGGAGTTACCATGGCCACCAGCACAAATTCCCCTCCGGGAGGTTGGAGGACTTTCAGAGGGACTTCCCTCAGGAATGAGAGAGAGTGGGGCAGGGAAGGTCAAAGGTCTCTCAGCCTCCCCTCCAGTTTCAGTCCTCAGACCAAGCGGGAAAGCACAGCTCCTCTCTCCACCTCCTACCAGCCCCTCAACAGGGACGTGGCCAGGCCCCTAACACCCGGGATTCCCAGCCTGCAGCACAAAAGACTCCAGGTAGACTGCAAGCAGCACTTCTCACCTTGTGTCCGGCATCACTGAGCACCTTGGCAGCTACCAGCCCAGCCACACCGGCACCAACCACAATCACCCTCTGGGGCTTTGAGGTTCGATTGAGGCCCAAGGTCACAACCTTGAGCAGCACCTCATAGTCAGGATCATGCATACATTTCTCAAAGGGATCCTGGCTATGGGAAGTCTTCCAGTCCAGGGAGGCCACCAGGCTGAAGAAGATGGAGATCAGGACAAGCAAGTACCGGGCTGGAGGGAGGAGGACGGGATCAGTGGGAAGGTCAGTAGGTACGTGTGGGGAGAGTGGGCTCCGTCCCCCCCCCCCCCCCCGTCCCTGTGCCCCCCTCTCCTGCTTACTTACCCGACGAGGCCATAACTCTCTGCGGGAGATGGTGTCTAGTTTGGAGGGGAAGCAAGGGCCACTGTGACAGGGGCCTGGGTCCCACTCCAGGCCCCGTCCCTAAGGCCACCCGTCTCTGGAGCCTCAGGCCTCCATCTACCCCTTCTAGCAGTCTCCTGTTCTGTGCTCACCTATCTGCCCCCGTCCCCGTCCCTGCCCTCCTTGTCCTTCTCTTCTCTGTTCCCCTCTCCTCTGCCCTTTCTCCCTGTGTCTATTTCTGTGGGTCCCAGTTTCCTGGCAGCCTCCCCTCTACCTTGGGCTCTCTGTGGACAGCAGTACCACCCTCTCTCTCCTGTTGCTTCCAAAGGTCTGCCCTGGCCCCCTTCTTGGTCCTTAAACAATGAGCTGAGCCCCGCCCTCCCCTCCCTTTGAGAAATCGGCAGTGGGGGAAATGAAACTACTTTCCTGGGTTGCAGGGTCAGGTGCTTAGAATTTAGTGGAGGCTGGAGGGGGTGGGCGTTGGGGAAAGGGGGTTGAGAGGAAGCAAATCAGTCTATTTTCTTCCTCTTGCCCCAAATAGTTCTGGGGCGGTTGGAAGGCCGGAAATAAATGCTCAGGTAACCATGCTAAGGGTGCCTGGTCTCAGGGTCCCTGTGTCTGCCCTCCTCTGTGCTCTGTCTCCTTAATTGCTGGGGCGGGGGTGGGGGGGCGGTGTCTGGCCTTGGGGCCGCATGTTCCCTGTGATAGTCTGAGTCTGTCCCTGTGTCTAGTTGTCGCTGTGCCCTGAAGGGCCCTTGCTGGCTCCACTCCCCTCCCACATGGCTGCTCTGAGCCTCCGTCTTCCCCTCCGTGAAATGGACTCAGTAGTGGGACTTGCAGGCAACAGCACAGTGGTCAGAGGCATGGGCTCGGGGCCAGCCTGCCTGGGTCCTGAGCCTGGTGCCTGCCTGTGTGGTTCTGGTCTCCAGCTGTCAAGTGGGGGCCGTGAATCCAGGTCAGGCCTTGTGAACAAGCGCCTGGGTCAATACTACAACTTGCTCCTTAGAAATTGCCAGCTGCTGTCACCGTGGGGGCGCTGGCAGGGGTTCAGGGAATGACCCCCCCACCCCCACCCCTGCTCCCCAGCCCTGCACAAGTCGCAGCCCAGGATGTGTGCTCACCCTTCCCATCCCTACATTGAGAACCACTGTGGCTCTCCGCTCACACTAGGGTGCTGGGGGCTCAGCAAAAAGGCCACTGGCGCTTCCGCCTCTCTGCCTTTGGCCTTAGCCTTCTCCACCTGTCTGTGGGGTGCTTTTTCCCTGAGGGGGGCAGGCAGTCAGAACAAGAGGACCCAGCCTCAAGGGGTCCCCACTCGTGGCAGCAGGGGTCCCTCGGCCCTTCGGACTTTAGCCAAGAGGACACGTGGTGGGTCCCCTGAAATGGGTGGAGGTAGAGAGGCAATTTCAGGGGGTTTTCTTGGGGTGGGGGGAGAAGGCACCAGACAGCTGGTGGCAGATCCTCTCCAGCAACAAGATGGGAAAATCCAAACAGTACATCAAAGAGGGATGTGGTTTGGTGGAGGGTGGGGGTTGGAGGGGGTATATCTGAGTGAGTCAGTAAACATATGATGCAGGGGCCTGGGAGGCAGCAGCCAAGCAGGAAACACAATCAGCTGGACAGAGCCTTGGGCCTTGAGGCCAAATGCCAAGAAAGCAAAGGGGACAGTCAGCAAAAACGACGGAGACGGTCCCCACGGTGAGCGCGCACTAAGGTGGTCCTGTGCTCAGTGCTTCGTGCTCACTGTGGACCTCACAGAGCTGTTCTTGGCAGAGGAGGGATCTGACAGATGGACAGGGGGCAGGTGGGGGAGGAGGACCCCAGGACTCACCCCAGGCCTCAGCGTGGGAAGGCCTTCCCATCACAGACCCTGCCTCCTTCCTTCATGGAGACACGAGTTGAGCACACCGCCTGGTTTCTCCTCTAATCCCAGACACCTTGTGTCAGAGGGGGAGCCCGGCCTGCAGAGCTGGGGGTCCGGCTGGCCCCTCCCCGGAGGCCCATCTGTGCTACTTCCCCATGGCAATGTCACGAGCAGGAGTAACATGGACGCAGAAAGGGGTGGAGGCCGCAGGGCTGTGGAACTCCTGCACTGGTCTCGGCAAGCCGTGTCGGTCCCCAGATCAGTTTGGAGGGCCCTGCCGGGGTCCGAGTAGACCCCCTGGTCTCTCCACCACAGGATTGCGCTTAAAAATCCCCTGGCTCTGGGCACGCCCCGAGCTCACCTCCTGGACTCTACAACAAAAGTGGGGTGCTGACCTCACCCAAGGGGCTCAGCAGGACAGGGAAAGGAAGGGAGAGGAACCCAACTCATGAGGCCACCCAGGACTGGAAACCAGCAGCGCCTGAGGGAGCAGGGGCCCTACTAGGGCCAGGCCTGATTCATGTTGCTACCTATAACATGACTGGTACCACGTGCCAGACATGCTTCACTTCATTTACTCCGGGAACAATTCTGACAAGGTGGGTTTAGCTGTCCCCATCTCACGGTGGAGAAAACCGAGGCCCAGAGAAGTCACCAGCTAAGAAGTAGCAGAACCTGGGTGTGATCCCAGCAGCCTGGCTCCAGTCCCATGTTCTTAAGCACTTTTTTCACCAGCAGAAAGCTCAGGCTTGCGAACTAGGGAGGGGGCCAGGGCAGGGTCTCTCTGCCTCGGCACTGTTGACATTGGGGGCCATCTTGGTGGGGACCATCCTGTGCATCGTAGGATGCCGAACAGCCTCACTGGCCTTTACCCTCTAGATGCCAGCAGCACCCGGCCCTCAAAGTGTGACAAAAGACACTGTCTCCAGGCATTGTCAATCATTCTCCGGGGAAGGGGACGCAAAATCACCCTGGCTAAGAACCACTAGGGCTAGGCTTAGGTTGATGTTGAACAGAACTCCCACAGGTGGCCAGATATGGTGCAGGACGGGGACCTGGGTATGGGGGCAGGAAAAGAAATAGTGGCAGCCACACAGATGTGCAGGGGAGAGGGCTAGTGCCTACATATATCGCTTTCCCAGAGTCAGTTCAAAGACCACGAGTGGTTGGTACTAAAACTTTCCCCAAGTCTCAGAAGAGGGCAGGGCCTTGCCCAGGGGATGTCCAGGGCCCCAGGTGGAAGTCAGGGCTCCGGGCCTGGATCGGGGAGGGGTACAGAGAGCAGAGGACAGACTTACCAGAGGCCCTTGATCTATGGCCTGACTCCTGGACAGAGTCCCCCTTCCTACGGAGCCCTCCTGCCCCTCCTTCCCCAGTTTTCCAGAATCCCTGGGCCCCATGGGGGCGGGCACTCACTGCACAGCTGGCTCTGGGGGGCCCTCTCAGTGCCCATGGCCTTTCTGGTTAGCCCGGGACAGAAGTCATCTTCGGGCGTGTGCGGAAACGGGGTGAATGATGGTGGCTTTGTCCTGATTCCTGTTAGATTAAAGGTGCCAGGGTCCTGGTGTGAAGTCAGAACAGTGGTGAGGCTGTGGAGAGCAGGTCCTCCTTTCTCAAAAGCTTTTCATTATGGAAATTTCAAACATATGTAACAACAGAGAGACTGGGATGCCGAACTCAAGTGCATCCGTCGCCTCCTAGCCCATCTTGTTTCATTCACATTTTCTCTTTCCTCCTCGGATTATTGTACAGCAAATACCAGACATCTTATATTTTGTAGGTAAATACTTCAGGATGCTTCTCGAAAACAGGGGTCTGCAAACTTTTTCTGTAAATATGTGGGGCTTTTTGGCCCACACCATCTCTGTCTTGCCTACTCAATTCTGCCCTCCAAGTAGCCACAGCACGTATAAATGAATTGGTTGTGGCTGTGTTCCAATAAAAATTTATTTACAAAATCAGGAAGTGGAACTGTAGTTTGCCAACCAACTTCTGCTCTAAAAATATATATGAACTCATTTGCTTTAAAAAACCAAAAACCAAAAACCAAAACTACAGGGGTACCTGGGTGGCTCAGTCACTTAAATATCCATCCGAGTCTTGGTTTTGGCTCAGGTCACGATCTCACGGTTCATGAGTTTTGAGCCCTGCATCAAGCTCTACACTGACAGTGTGGAGCCTGCTTGGGATTCTCTCCCTCTCTCTCTGCCCCTCCCCCCCTTGTGCTATCTCTGTCTCTCAAAATAAACTTAAAAAAATAAATAAAAATGCCATTAAACCAAAGTCCGCATTTCCCTGATTGTCTCAAAAAATTAACAGTTGGAAAAAAAAAAAAAGAAGAAAAAAAAAATTAACAGTCGGTTTGAATCAAAACTCAAGACAGGGCCCACTTGGCATTTGAGTGATGCTGAGGGTCTTTGTCAATGAGCGAGTATTACTTTCAGGTTGGTGGATTTGGTGTCTGTGTCCTTGGAACCAAGGGGCTTAATGGGACCCCACAGCCCCAGGCCAGGTCTGAACCTGGCACCGCAGCGCACCAGGTCTGGTTTCTGCCTCGGGGAAATCTTGGGAGGTCATGGATGCGACCAGGACGGTGTCTGCCTGTGAAGTGTGTGTGTGCACCAGGTGAGTCACTGGCATTTGAAGTGATCGGTGCCAACGTGTGAGGACTCTAGGGCAGGCACAGGGGCAGCGTGGCCGAGTCAAGCCTGGCTAAGGGCTGGCTTCTGAGGCTGAGGGATTTTGTTCCCGGAAGTTCTGCAGAACACTGCTGCCCGGAGAGTCTGAGGGCAGGCTTTTTAGGCACCCAAGTGATTTCAAGGTTGATCGAAAACTTGGGAGCAGTGGTGTGCTGGGGCTGGCTCATACCAGTGCACGAGAGCGGATGGTTTCATTTTTAGGGTCTTTTTCTCGGTTTGGTTCTGCAAGCCATTCTTTAAAAAAAAAAAAAAAAAAAAAATTCTGATCAATCTCCTGAAACACAGATTTACTCAAAACTCATTTCTTCCCAATCACCAGATTACATTTTACTATTCTGTATATTCTTGGGGTGAATTCACTGTATCCAGATAGTGCATGTCAATTTCCCAAATTCATGCTCAGTGACGTCATGTTCAGTGACCTCAAGTCGATAGCTTGAAATCAGCCCCGGTGGGAGTATTTCCACCATGGGATCAACAACCGGTACCCCATGAGGGCTCTCCCCTTCTCTGGTGAGCCAGCTATTCAACATTTACCAGCACACCACTGCTTGGGAGTCCTTGGTTTCAACCTCCCCTAGAAGATCAAGGGTGCTGTTTGGGGACATCTGATCCTTCTGACGCCAAGCTGTGGCTGACAGGAAGAGGCATGATCCCGGGGAAGGTGCTGGGCCATAGAGAGGCAGTCGTTTGAAAGGGTTTCTTTGAGCTTAATAGAAAGCCATAGCCACAAATCTAATTGCCACTCTTATCCCTGTAGGGGGAGAAGAAACGCAGGTATAGCTTATGGAGAGATTCACCTTTAAAAGCCACTGATTCCAAATTTAGTCACCACATTGGCTGTCTTCGTACTAATTAATGAAGAGGAACCTTAAGCAGAGGCCATTTGTCTGCACTGGCAAAGAAGCGCATCTGTTTTCTTCCTGGAAAGGGAAATGGCAATTACAATGAAGTCATCATCTGCAGGGTGGTACCCAGTCAGCTGCTGAATCTGTTGCAATCTCAGGGACCCCTCCCTGACTCCCCCAGGAAGCCTGTTGGGGCCGCTTTCCCTGTGGCACCAGAACACTGTAGCCAGCCCTCCCACATGGCCATCGTCCTGATTTTGAACTGTGTTTGAGTGGGTTGCCCAAGATCCCTTGGGGAACAGGAAGAAAATAGATGGAACTTCAATGTTTTCATTAAAAAAAAAAAAAAAAAAATACAGCTCTGGGGCACCTGCATAGCTCAGTCAGTTAAGCGTCTTGACTTCAGCTAAGGTATTGATCTCACAGTTTGTAAGTTTGAGCCCCACATTGGGTTCTGGACTGACAGCTCAGAGCCTGGAGCTGCTTCAGATTCTGTGTCCCCCCCCCCCTGCCCCTCCCCCCCTTGGGGCCTGTCTCTCTCAAAAATACATTAAAAAATTTTTTTATCTAAAAAAAAAATTAAAAAATACAGCTATATGAAAGCAATTAAGTTTTATGAGCGTTTAATATGCAAAACAGGCAAATGATATACATTTGAAATGCAAGCTCAGGGGAAATCTTAGCACGACTGTCTGGCCCCTGCCAGCAACCTGTGTGTGGGCAGAAACACCATCCCATTTTTGTGACCCCGATGCCAGGCCAGCTATTTAGCAGGTGCTCCAAAAATGGGTGTTGAATGAATAAATGTGTATAAAATACGAACTACTTCCTACTTTCTAGGGGGACTTGAGGCTGCCCCATCCCACCTCCCCCTTCAGGGAGAGGGGGTCAGATACGGGTCGCAGAGGCTCTGAAGGCCAACTTCCCAGGAAGGTGGTGGGGAGCTTTTAGAGAGAATCAAGTGGTTTAGTCTGGGGGCTCCCTTCTCCCTCTGCTGTGGCTTTTGCAAGACACTTGTTCTGGGAAGCCAAAGATGGTGAAACGACTTATGGTCATGACTTTGGGCAACTGGACCACAGGTCTCCAGGAATAAGCTTGGGGCATTCCTTAGCAAAAAGCAGGCTCAGCGAGGCAAAGGCCGGAGGGACAGACTCTCCACCCCGCAGCAGGAGATCAGATCCAACTGCTGGGCGTCATTCTCGCCTACGGGAGCTGGGGACAAGAGGCACAATGTTGGGCATGTGGAAATGACCTGAACAAATCCGCATCCCAGCTTTACCTGCTTTCCACCTCTGAAGCACAACGAGCACCCTCCAGCTAGCCCCAGGTAATGGAGAGGGACGCTGCCCACGGCACCCGCTGCTGCGGAGCTACCGCCTTCGGGACGATGGCAAAGGACTGGACGTTGATGTGTATCTAAGATATAACCTAGAACGTCACCTGCACACACTCTCCCATGTGTCCCTCCTCTGCCGTCAGCACCAGAGGAACATACCACTTGCGTTTTGGCACAGAGGCAGGCCTAAATGCGTCGTCTAGTTCTGCTGGTTTCTGAGTTCCAGACAAACGGCCACTTCATGCGGTTTTTACCTGGAACCTGCTCTTTTTACCCAGCCTTCTAAGTTATCCACGTTAATGGCATCTTTTTTGTTCCACAATAAATTTTATTTGGGAAAGCAACATACAGTCACAGGTATTTCAGACAGTGCAGCAAACTGTAAAGACAAATACAAAAGACACTTGGGATACAACTGGTTGCCTTCTGTTCTTCTGGACACTGGATCTCACTGTAACTAACTAGGTTTGCTTTAGCGTTGGTCAAGTTCAGAACCAAGTCTGTGGCCGCCTCTGGCACCTGTGGCCATTTCGTGGATAAACATTTTATGCTGTTTTTTTATCTCTGTTGTTCATTCATTCGCAAATGTGAGGGATGGTGCTGAGGTCACAAAAGGGAATAAGGAACGCTCCTTGCCCGCAGGGGCTCACACTCTTATGGTGAGGCAGTGACGTAATCGGTTGGCCTAAGATCGTGTGGCGAGTGTTATCAAAGGTGTGAGCTCAGTGTGGTGCAGGGACCAACAGGACAGCCATCTGACCCAGCTTTTGGGGTGGCCTAGAGGGCTTCCTGGAGGAGGTGAGGCCTAAGATAAGGAGACCTGGACAATCAGGAGGCATGTCAGCCAGGCAAAGTGAAGACCTCCCGGTTCGAGTCTGACCCTTTTCTCAACACCTCATTTAAGTCCCTCATCTGACCTGTCCTTCCTCCTTTGAAATTCTACATCCCACGGTCGGTTCTATTCACAAGTCCCTTCTTTGCACTGGTGGTGAATTTCCACACGCACACACCTCATACGAGGATGCTGTCTCCTCGAAGACGGAGACTTTTCACTGCACCTACGACTATGTGTTGGACAAGTGGCCGCTTAGCGGACCCTGGCTGGGAGACGGATGGTGTTTGTGCGAATCAGCACTTCTCCAGCACCTGGCTGGAGCCAAGAAGGATGGGGAGGGTGGCTGTTGTAGGTGATGGGGTCTGGGATACGCAAAAGATACACAAAAGAAACCACACCCACTAGGCTGCTGTCAGGGCCAGAGTGCTTGGAATATTTCTCTTTTTACTAATGCAAAATGCCAGACCACAGAACTGTTCTCAACAGCACAGTCGTTTGGAAGAAAGGAGCAAACAAGTATTCACTGCAACCAAAAACCAGACAATAATTACGCGGCGCCCACTGCCCCCAACACCCTCGGAACCCACGGGCCCTGAAGACGGCCAGCAGCTCAGTCGAACGTGATCCGGAAGCTGCGCTCCTGCTCTTTGCGACGCCCCTCGCACACCTTGGTCACCTCCTCCACCTTCCTCTGCAGCAGGGCCGAGTTCTGGTCGATCCACTGCAGCGAGTCCATGTGCGCGTTGAGGATCTTGCAGATCTGCTGCAGGGGGTCGCTGGTGTCGGCGGGACCTCCAGACGTGTTCAGGTGCTCGATGATGTCCTTGAGGTCTTGGGCCATGCGCTTCAGCTGCGCGTCGATGTTCTCGGCGAGCTTGTAGGTTTTCTCGCGCTCCTCGTCGGCGTGCTGCAGGTAGACGGTCCCGCTCTGCTCCTTGACCGACTCCTCCAGCGGGCTCAGCAGGTCTTCCAGCTCCTTCTGCTGAGAAAGGATGAAGTCGAGCTCTTGGTCCAGCCTCTTCTGGTCCAGCTTCACTTTCTCCACCTCGCGGTGGAGGGTAGTGATCTTCTCCCCATTCTCGATCAGTGTGCGGTCCCAGGCGTTGACCTGTGTGGCCTGCTGCAAAAAGTGCCGCTCCTGGTCCTCCAGCTCCAGGCTCCACTTGTTGATCAGACTCTCCAGCTGGGCGTACGTCATCACGGGACTGGCGGACGCCCCTGTGGGTGCACCGGAGCCAGGAGGCACGGTCGCGGCAGCCGGTGCATTGCTGGCGATCCCGGCCGGTGCCAGTGGCTTCAGATTCAAGGCAAAGCCGGCGGTGGTGGTGGCCGCCGTGGTGGTGGCTGTGGCAGTGGTGGCAGTGGCAGTGGATGTTGTCGTGGAGGAGGTAGAAGCCGCCCCGGGGGCCTTTAAGCTGAAGCCCAGCGTTCCGGCCCCGGGTGCCGCAGCTGTGGTCGACGGGGTACAAAGGGAAAGCCCGGTGGTGGTGGAAGAGGCTGGAGCGGTCGCTAGCGAGGCGAACAGCGTGGGCCCGGCACTGGTGGTGGCCGCGGCGGGTGCAGGAGCAGCTGGCTGAGTGGCTCCTGCTCCAGTGGTTGCCGGCGTGGCGGGAGTGAAGGGCAGTCCGCCCAGTGCCGTGGGCTGGGCCAAACTCCCCATGGAGCCAATATTGAAACCGGAGGTCCCGCTCTGGGACGTGCTTCCGCCTGTGAACGAGAATCCCCCCGGTGTGGTGGATGGAGCGGCAGAGGTGGTGGTGGAGCCGAACACAAAGCCAGCGGGTGCTGTGCTCTGGCTGGAGGTGACAGTGCTCGAGATGGCGTTGGTGAGGGTGCTGCCGCCGAGCCCAAAGCCGCCAGGGTGAGCAGTGGCTGGGGTGGCGGCTGCATTGCTCAGGTTTAGCTTCGGAGCGCTGATCCCTAAGGAGAATCCCGTTCCTCCCGTAGCAGGAGTTGTGGTTCCGAAACTGAACCCTGGGGTCTGTGTCGCTGGAGCTTGGGTGGTGAGCGAGAACAGGCCAGTAGAAGGGGTGCTTGCAGCTGGCTGGGAGGGAGTCCCAAAGTTAAACCCGCCAGTGCCAGACGTAGAGAAAGAGAAGCCGGTAGCAGGCGTGGTTGTTGCCGTCTTTGCGGTGCCAAACGTGAACCCGCCTGTGGGGGCCCCAGTGCCTCCAAAATTAAACCCGCTCATGGCTCCAGATTCCGGCGGCAGCGGCTACTCTGACTCCCAGAGCAAATCCCTCGGTGTCTGCAACCTTGGGAAGATTTTCAAAGCACAGTAAGTCACATGATCAGATGGCAGTTTGGGAAAGGCAACCTCAATGGCATGATGGAACGTGTGGAGGGTGGCAGGACTTTGCATAATTATAATACGTGCTCGCCACCCTGCTCCCTGCTACAGCCCAGACAGGCCCTGTTAAACTAGCAAAGAAAGATTCGGAAGCATAAGCCGGTGCCCTGGGGGTCAGGTGCTCGGGGCTAGATGTGCTTGGGCGGTGCGCAGCCAGGTTCAGCACAAGCAGGAGTATCTGCTGCCGTGGAAGAGAAGGCCAAAGAGCAGGCACCTGAGCTGACCTCAGCCCCGAGGAGGGCACACAAAATAACACCTGGAGGACCGGCTGCCCAGGATACCGTGCCAACCACAGGTGGGAGGTGGTGGGTGGTGGGCTGATCTGGCCGAGTGCCACGCTGACTGCCCTTCTGGACTCACAGAAAGGCCCCAGAAAGCTGAGCTGCACGGCAGGGCCTGAGGTGGCGAAGGTCCCATCTGTGCACACCCCTGACCTGTTAGGAGGATGGAGGGCGTGTTGGCACATCCCTCTGCCCTCCTTCTAACTCAGGGGTGGACGGGAGACCCCAGTCAGCTAACTCAGACCTCCCCTGGGACTGCTCTCCAGGCACTCA